TTCTTTCTTTCTTTCTTTCTTTCTTTCTTTCTTTCTTTCTTTCTTTCTTTCTTTCTTTCTTTCTTTCTCTTTCTTTTCTTTTTTTTTTTTTTTTTTTTTTGAGACAGAGTTTCTCTGTGTTAACAGCCCTCACTGTCCTGAAACTCACTCTGTAGAGCAGGCTGGTCTCAAATTCACAGAGATCTGACTGCCTCTGCCCCCTGAGTGCTGAGATCAAAGGTGTGCAAAAGCACTGCCCAGCAACCTAGAACACTTCTGGCAGACCTTCCTCTCGTAATGGGAAAAATGACAGACACCGCTGCTTGCTTCTCAACAGTCAGTCTACCCTACTCCCTTAGCAGCAGAATTTTCAGTCAGGAATATGACAGTCTGAAGTAGTTCTCTCTCCTCTTACAGACAAATAGGGCCATGTGATTAATTTCTTGATTCTTTGTAGTCTTTTCTTTTTTTGAGACAGAGTCTCACTATGTATCCCTGGCTTGCCTGGAACTCTCTATGTAGATGAGGCTGGCCTGGACCTCATCTGCCTCTGCCTCTGGAGTCCTAGGATTAAAGACATACTCAGCCATGCCAGGCTACATCATCATCATTATTATTATTATTATTATTATTATTATTATTATTATTATTATTCTTTTTTTGCGGGGTTTGGGGGTGAAGAATGAAAAACAAGATCTTCTGTCAAAAGTCTTTTTCTTAACTTAGGATCTCATCTCAAACTTGCTATGTAGTTAGTCAACAATGAACCTAGCCTCCTAATCCTGCCTCTACAGCTGAAATGCTAAGATTACCGGTAGTAGATATTATGCCTAGGGTTGTTTTTTTTTTTTTTTTTTTCTTTCTTCTTTTTTCAGGTTTTCTCTGTATGGCTCTGACTGTCTTACAACTCAACTCTGCAGAACAGGTTGGCCTCAAACTTAAGAGAACTGCCTGTCCCTGCCTCTCAAATGCTGTGATTAAAAGCGTGCACCACCACCACCTGGCCTTTTTCTTCCACTACTTCTTCATTAACAAGCTCTGACAAGTTTTATTAAAGAAAAAAATGTCTGTCCTGGTTTACTTTTTTTTTTTTTTTGGTTTTTTGTTTTTTTGGTTTTGACACAGGGTTTCTCCCAGGCTGGCTTTGAACTCACAGAGATTGACCTGTCTCTGCCACCCTGAGTGCTAGAATTACAGGCATGCACCATGCCTGGTTTCCTGGTTTATTTTTCACCAGTCTGTTCTGGCATGCTTCTAATATCAGAATTACCTGGGTCAATGAAGCCAGTGCACATACTCTGTAATATTTTCCACATGCTGTGCCACTTTAGTGACAGAAAACAGTTTTGGATTAATGGTATTCTATTTCAGATTGCCTCCAAACTGGGTACATTAGCAAGAATACCAATTTTGTTTTTCCCCATTTGCTCATCTTCAGAGTTTGCTTGAATCCAAGCACATGCACTAGAGACTAGAGTTGATTGATTCCAGAGACTTTTGCATCATCTTTGCAGCCACCATCGTTCTTCCTAAAGGGCAGGACAGCCCTTAACCAAGAGCAGCTGCCAAAATGGTTGAGATAGAGAAAGCTTGTTTAGTTTTTCTTTGTTTGTTTCAGACAGGATTTCTCTGTGTAGTCTTGGCTTTCCTGGACCAAACTTGGTTGTCTCAAACAAAATAAACAACAATAAAAGAATCCACCATCATTGCTATCATTCATCTCTGAACAACCTACTTGTTGTTTTCCTTTTGGGGACAAAGACTCACTCTATAGCCTATGGTAGCCTTAAACTCACAGCTATCTTCCTGCCTCAGACTACTAAGTGCCACCATGAGAGAAAAAGAAATGTGTATGTGTTGTATTTATGAAGCATTTGTGTGCATGGGTAAGTATATATATGCAAAGACCAAAGGGGGACACTGAGTATCTTCTTCTCTTTTTAAATTTAAATTTAAATTTCTTTTTTAATTTTACCATTTACACATTATTCTGCCTTCCCGTATGCCTGCACACCAGAAGAGTGCACTAGATCTCATTATAGATGGTTATGAGGTTCCCAAAACCAATTTCCATTTGGTTGCTAGGAAGTGAACTCAGGACCTTTGGAAGGACAGCTAGTGTTCTTACCCTCTGAGTATTTCTCCAGACCATCTTCCTCTCTCTTTTGACCTTATTTCCTTGAGTCAAGGTCTCTTACTAAATCATAGTTTTTGGTTAATCTGGCTAGCCATCAAACTCCAGCAATCCTTCTGACAGCAGCACCCCATCTCCCAGCGCCGGAATTATGGGCACACTTTTTACACGGTACTGGGATCTGAACTCAGAGCTTCATGCTTGCTCTTAGTACTAAGTATTCTTGCCCACTGAACCATCTCTCCAGATGCCTGTGCCCTTCATTCAGTCTCCTCATGTAGCCCAGGCTGGCCTCAATCTTGCTATGTAGCTAGAACGACATTGAACTCCTCATCCCCTTATCTTTACTTCCTAAAAACTGAGATCACAGGTGTATATCACAGAGGCTGGTTTATGCAGTGCTGTGGACTGACCCCAGGGCATGCTATACAAGTACTCTATTAACTAAGCTAATCACCAGCCCTAAACATTTTTGTTATTCTTTTTTGAGACAGGGTCTCACTATGTAGTTCTGACTGTCCTGGAATTCACTTTGTAGGCCAGGCTGGCCTTGAACTCAAGAGATTTGCCTGTCGGTACAAACAGTTTTGAGTTGCCATATGGGTGCTAGGAATTGAACCCAGGTCCTTTGGAAGAGCAGTCAGTGTTCTTAACCACTGAGCCATCTCTCCAGGACCCCAATTTTCTTTCTTAATCTAGTTTTATTCTATTTTCTCCTGGCTAAGCATCCTTCGTCCTAAAAACCAAAGTCTGAAACTTTTTTGGTTTTTGTCAGACAAGATCTTACTGTGTAGCCTTGGATGGCCTACTAGTCACTATGCAACCAAGACTGGACTAAAGCATATGGGAATCCTCCTGCCTCAGCTACCGGAGTGCTAGGATTAAAGGTACACACCAATATATCTGGCTTAAAATTTGAAATGCTTGAGTATGCACATAATGCCACATATGGGAATTCCATACCTGACCACCAAAGATGGGTCACTCTCATAATGCATAAGTGCCAGGTATGGTGGCACACCTTTAAGCTTGGCCAGCTGGACTACGTAGCAAATATCAAGACAAGGGTTACATAAAGAGCTCTACTTTGTCTCAAAAAATGCAGAAAATATAGGTAGTAGGATGTTAAGAAGCCGGCCAGGATTCCAGGTCTCCCTGACTCCAAAGTCTTCTTGCCATTCCTCAAGGGCAATTCACTGCATTCGTACTAAGAAGCTACAAGTCAGAAGAAGCTTCACCTGGAGCTGCGAGTTGAGGTCATCTTTCTGTCCCATAAGATCTTCATATTCATCCTGCCGATGGTGTAGTTCAGCTGTTAATTCAGTGGTCTGTTCCCGAAGCATATTCAGTTCTTGTGTCCTTGCTGTCTGGATCTGGACAAAGTGGTAATGGTGGGTAATGGAATACAGGGAGCCCAAAAGCCTAGGATGCCTTGAACCTCCCAGTTCCGGGAAGATAGGAAGAGAAGTACGAAGAAAGATAGAAAAAGAAAATTTAAAACAGAATAGCAGGGATAAAATAAAATATTATGCAGTGATAAAAGAACTCATGAAACATATGGGTAAAGCTCACAGACATAGAGGTACCAGAAAGCAGGCAAGGGCAGAAGAGCATTGACTCCATTTATATGGATTAAAGAACAAGCAAAAGGGGCTGGAGAGATGGCTCAGAGCTCAAGAGCATTGGTTGCTTTTCCAGAGGTCTTAAGTTCAATTCCCAGTAACTACATGGTGGCTCACAACCATCTATAATGAGATCTGGTGTCCTCTTCTGGTGTACAGGCACACATGCAGCAGAACACTGTAAACATAATAATCTTAAAAATTAAAAAAAAAAAGGAACAAGCAACATGAATCTATGTTGCTAAAGGTCAGAATACTGGTTACTTCCAAGGATATGCTGACTGGAATGGTAAAAGGATCTTCTAACAAACTGAAAAATGCTCTGTATCTTATTCTGGAAGGTAGATATATGGAGTTATAAAGGAACATGGATACAGATAGTCACATTCGATTCACCAAGTGCACACTTATGATTATTACATTTCATGCACTTTATCACAGAGAAACTAGAATGCCAGAAAAGCAGGAATGGCTGAAGAAGAAGGCTGCAAGTCAACAGAAAGGAGAAACAGAAACAGGAGGCCACAGAACAGTAATCAGTCCAGTAAACACCCTGGTCAGATGTAGGCCAAAAGCAGAGAGAGAGAAGAGAAACGGAAACAGACAGATGAGCAAGGGCTTTCAGGTGTCCTGTACCTGCTCCAGAGCAGCCAAGCTAGTCCTCAAGGCATTGTTCTCAGCCAATAGCCCTTCCATTTGTTCCTGCGCATCTGCACTCTGGACGGACACCTGACCCCACCCCAACAACAGATGAGAGCAGGTCCAGAACACAGGGGCAGAACCTACCCGTAGCCAAGAAAGAAAGGACAAAGACACACAGACCAGGACTAGGAAAAGCAAGACCCCTTAGGCCATGTTTGCCTGTAAAATACCAACTCAGCCTGTCGTCACCCTCAGCCCCAACTCCCAAGCCCACCAAGTACAACATACCCGATTTTGTAGGGCCCGCAAAGCTGCTGCATGCTCCAGGCGTTCTCCCTGCTGTTGATCCCTTAGCTCCACCAAGCTCTGTGGGAACAGGGAAGTCAGGTAACCCCATGCCAGAACTCATCCTTCCTTGGGTGGACACGAATATACAACCTCCCTCTGATCACCCAGAAGCATGTTCCCAGCATCTGTAAGTCTTAGATTAGCTGTCAGGGTTTTCAGGTTCATCAAGACTCCAAGCAATTCCACACAGGGCTTTCAAACACTTTAACTCCCTTTTTTTCCCAGCTTTTGAGTAAAATTTCAGACATAGGTAAGTGTCTGAACCTAACTTCTGAGGTGCTCCTACTCACCCAGATTCAAGCCTGGGAGCCCCAGGATTTTCAGTCCCCAGAGACTATAACTTTACCCATCTCCAGACCATAACTACTAGGAGTTGTTGACATACTTAATCCCCCATGTCCCAAGCTCAGAAGCCTCAGTTCACACAAGCTCCTAGCCCTAGACCCGAGAGATCTCAAATTCCTCGTTTCCAGCTCTTGAAGAAACCTCAGACTGCCACTCTGGGAATCTTTAGACCTAGATCACCAAAAACTCCTGAGGCTTTTATCCAGAATCTCTCCAGGACCTCACATTGCAGTTTTCCAGGGTCACTGCTCCCACAAGCTAGCATATTCTCTATTGTGAGAAACAGCAGACTAGCTTCCTCTCAGGGGAAACCCAGGGGCTTTGAAGTCATCCAGCCCTGATGCACAGGAACTGCATACTCATGTAGTTTTTGTTCCAGCTTGTCACTACAACCAAAGACCTCAGGAAAACTCATCTCACATGAACTCACTTCTTCAACATCACAGAACCAAAACAACTTTACAGACCTTGAAGGTCTCAATTGTACTCTGCCTCCAGCCCCAACTGCCCCATACTTGAAAGCCCAATATCTACTCAACTCCTAGGTCTTTGACCCCTAGGAGACTCAAATGTACCAATAACACAGTCTTTTAACTTATTATTGAAATAAGGTCTGATTATGTATTTCCAGCTGGCCTCAAACTTATAGAGATTCATCTGCCTCTGCCTCCTAAGTGTTGGGACTAAAGCTGTATGCTACTATACCCAGTTGATATGACAGCTTTTAAAGGTCTCAGCATCACGCAGATTCTCTCTTCCCTGCCCCCTCGACAGTTTCTCCGTGCAACATCCCTTGCTGTCTAGGAACTTGCTCTATAGACCAGGCTGGTCTTGAACTCACAGATATCTGCCTTCCTCTGCTTCCTGAGTGCTGGGATTAAGGGCATGTACCACCACTGCACCACCACCACCTGGCTGCATCACCCAGTTTCTAACAGGAGAGTTCCACAGCTCAGATTCACCCTGACTCCTGGTCCCAGACCCCAGTGAGAATTCTGATTATACAAACTTGTGGTACACAATCAGAACCATTAGACTCCCACCAAGGAGTCTCTGATTCATGTAAACTCCTAACCCAATTTTTAGGGCTCTTGGGTGTCTGAATTCCCATTTTTCTAGCTCCTAGAAAGTATACACATACCTGTCAGGTTGCTATATTTCCAAATCTCAAACATCTCAACCAGTCTCTAAAGACCTTATACCTCCCCAGACTGTCAGTCCTGGTTCTCCACTCCAGGGATCTTGGGACCCAGCCCACATCACCTGATTGGCAGCCTCAAGTTCTTGCTGCAGCTTTTGGGTGAGAGCCAAGTGTGCTTTCAGATCAGCTTCTTTTTGCTGTTGTATTTCTTCTATTTTGTTTCTAGGGGTGACACGGATAGAGTAATTAGGCATGGCTAAAAGCCCACTCTCCCATCTCTGCCCCTGTGGTCTTTGGTTAATTTTGCTGGGCATGGTCCCTGTTTTTCCACTACTAAAAACCCCAATAGACACCTGGTTTCATTAAACAGTGTTTCCTTCTCTGTCTGCAGATGGCAAAAACTAGGCACAGAAAGACAGACATAGATACATCATTTCCACAAGCCAATCCCCCTCTCTCTAGGTCCCCAAAACCCCTGAAAAAGAAATGTATACCTTTCCTGTTTCTTTTTCAATTTCTCAGAGAGCTGAGGGAGAAAAGGGAAGGAGTACAGACAAATAACAACAATGAGAATATTGACAAAACAAAATAAACAATAACAACATTTATAGATACTTCATACTGAGTCCTTCCTACAAGTCAGGTTTTACTTATGATTTTTTTCATAGAATTCTCAGTACATTCTTGAGAAGTGAGAACTACTGATTTTATGAGTGTGTAAACTGAGTCTCAAAAAGGTTAAGCAATTTGATGGCTCAGTTGTCAGCAGCAGCATCATCATCTCCATCTAGCTTTCATGGACTCCCAAAGGCCATTATTTATGCTCCCAAAGCAGCGCCAATAGCCACAGTACAGAATGGCTAGGCTGGGAGGCCTGAAAAGTAGGATCCAGATTGGTTGTCTCAACACTGGGTCCCCATGTTCTACAGGCATTCTTATATGGATGAATTGGCAAAGCTTCAAGGAAACAGAAGAAATGGGGCCTGCCATGCACAAGGTAGAATGGGACACCACATTGCTTTTCACAATGAAAACAACTCTGAGATTTGGGAGCCTCTATTTCACACATGATGAAATTGAAGCGCTGAGGAGTCTCCTCTGCTGTCAGGAGAAAGCCAGGTGGCAGTAAACCCCACCTTCGCAAGTTCATCCTGGAGTCTGGAAGTTTCAGCTTGCTTTGAGCTCTGGGGGGGGGGGATAAGAGATGGAGTTGTTATCAGTAGGGATGGAGGAAGGCCTCTAATTTTGCCTGTTCCACCTCCCTTTAGCCCATGAGACAGTGATGTCACAGACATCTCCATGGGCCCATAAATAGGAGTAGAGCGACTGCTGTCTACCAGCATTCTAGTTCCAAGAGACCCAGATCTACCTCTAAGCCTTGCAGCTGCTCCCAGAGCAACTTCTTTTCTTCTTTCTCAATTTCCAATTTCAGCTCCACTTCTGCCAATGGCATGGGGGCCAGGGCATCAGGGAGCACATCTCCTGGGGGATCCCCTTGGCCCTCACTGACAGCAGAGAGCCTCATAGTCTCTTTCCTGTAGCGTTCTTGCAGTGCTGTTGAGTAGAACAAGAATGTGTGATGAATGACATCATCTCAGAAGTCCCCTGTCATGTCTCAAATACAGGGAGAATGATCAAAACTTCAGCCTCTCAGGTTACATAGGGCCCTACCGCAAATGAAGCCTTATTCAGGCCTGTCATAAATAATGGTTAAGCCCCAACAAACTCACAAATCCTATCTACCATGTTCAATACCATGTTTACACATATAAACTAATTGCTACTCATATTGTACCTGGTTTCAGTCCTGACCAAGGTACTAGCACCTACTTCCACATAAGTCCCAGCTACTCACCAAAGCCTTTGTGCCAGGGCCTTTTCACACTCTACCAAGCTGTCTTTCTGCTTTCCTCCCAGACCCTATTTACAATCTGAGCTCAGAATCTTTCTAATGTTCTAGTTCTGCTTAGTCAAGGTCTCTTTTTCAACACTCATTCTGCTGTTCTCTATCATTTGCTACGCACAAGACATTGAACTAATGTAAAATGGAACCTGCTCCATCTTCTTGGCATAGATATTCTGGTGTACTGCATGGATGAGAAAGTTTAGACTCAGAGAGGTAAAATGCCTTCCAAAATCCAGCCACCACACCCGGCAAAATCCAAAATCACACACTAGTTCAGGCAAGGCCAAGTCTCACTTTGAAATTTCTTCTCTCTCCCATAAGAGGTCTATCTCCATCCCTGCTTTGCTCAAGACCTGAGGTCTCTATATCCTAGGAAGGCCTCTATGCACCTGCCATGTTCTTCTGCAAGGCTGTGTTCTCTGCCTGCAGCTGCAGCAGCTCTCCATCCACATGTGGTCCAGCTTGAATAGCCTCCTCTCCAGTAGCCCCTTTCTTCAGTTGCTGGTTCTCCAGCTCTAACTGCTCTAGCTGGCTGCAGAGCTGAGCAGGGGGAGAGAAATGAAAGAGAAATAGCAAATGAGAACAATACACACCAAAACACAAATAGCAGTTGGCCACTCAGTATAGAATTAAATTCCCAGAATAATCCTATAATGTAGTTGCTCTTACACTTTTGGATAAAGGCACTGAGACACAGAGATATTAAACAATTTCCAATTTACACATCTATTAAGTAGCAAAGTCAAAAATGGTGAGATGACTCCCAACCTCTGAGATGCTAGGGCCTCAGGCAGCTTTGGAAGCTGTTAGCACCATGGACAGCCCCCACGGAGATAAAAACACACTGGTCTCCAGCTGTGGAAAAATGTCTTAGATCCCTGAATCCAAGAACAGCACCTCTTGATCCAGGCATCAGAGACAGCTTGCAAGACATTTCTAAAATAAACACAGCTTACAGTCTTCAGACTTCCAGTGTTTAGTTTTGAAGAGGCACACCATGAAAACAAAATTCAGCAGGCCCCACTGTTCATTTACCTCCTGGGTAAAACAACAGTTTTGTAAGACAGTCACCTGAGTTCACTTTCAGATCAGACTACTGAGGCCCACAAAAAAAAAAAAATTATTGCCTAGGATGTAGCATCATTTCTTTCAATCATACTAGAAGGCATTAATTAAAGAAATGGTGTGATAAGATCTAGAGGTCAGAATAATTTTTGTGGAGTAGTGGAGTGGCCAACCGAGAAAACTAGAAATAAGGATACCAGAAGGCTGTAGAAGTAGAGCAGAGAGGCAGTAATACTGAGGCAGGTAAAAAACATAGAATACAAACATGTTTCATACTAAGCAAATACTTCTTCCACTAAGCTAACATTCCATGTTCCTAGACATAAAACTCCTCTGTCTCCTTTACCTTCTTTTGCTTTTCGCATTCCACTGGAATAATATATCTTTTTTGAGTATGAAAAGGGATAGAGTTATGGCACAGTGGCTAGCACACCTGCTTAGCATGCATGATTCTCGGACTGGCTCTTCATCAGCACAAACAAATCAAGATATAGTTTAGGGGGAAAATGAACTAAGATAATCACCATTCCCATTTGTAAACATTTGGGAATCAAGAAACAGGAGGCTAAGTGACATAGCTAGTAAAATGCACAACCAAGATCTAGGCCTTCTGATTCCAGAATCCCTCCTCAGAATTACTGACTGTTAAACGACATCTCCTGGTACTGTAACTGCTTAAAGATTGTTTTCTGTTGCATTTTGTTTTTGAGTTTTTGACTTTTTAAATATTTTTCTTTATTCTTCGATATGTCACGTAGCCCAGTCTGGCCTGGAACTCACTATGTAGCCAAGGATGACCTTAAACTTCTGATTCTTTTGCCTCTACTACCCAAGTACTAAGATAACAGGTATATGACACCACCACAGTTTGTGCAGTGCTGGGGATCAAACCCAGGATCTCATTCATATGACTAAGCCACTCTACCAATTAAGTGATATCCCAAGCCCTTGGGTGGTGTTTTTTTTTTGCTATTTTTTAATAATTTCTTATTGTATACATGTATTATGATCACATTCCTCTTGATTTACTTTTTTAAAGCAGTATATCCCCATCAGGCAGAGCCTTGAAAATAACATTCTTTTTTTCTACAGAATATTTTTTTCCTTAAAACATGCTGAAAACTCACAAACTGATCAACCATGGATACAGAAGACTGGTAGGAGAATAAAACACAGGATCTCCAATTGCCCAGTAGGGTTGGAAAAAGCCAAAAGATTAAAATCAGTAAAGAGATAGAGTTAGCCATTCCAGGATGAATTACCTAGAAGAAGTGGGACCCCAGACTCATGTCAAATGAAGGAAAGAAGAAGAAAACATAAGCAATTCAAACACTTTCCATTCATATTAAGCAATAAGAACTTTACATAAAGTCTGAGAATACACTGGGGCTCCGTAGCGCCAGCCCAAAATTATACAAATGGATGCTTAAACTAAATAAAAGGAGTGACTTGGGAACCAAATAAACTTAGAGCTCAAAGGATCTGATTCCATCAAAGTGTTTGGCCCCACCTGTGAAATTACTGCCCCCAGCAACAGACTAAGGCCTGTTTCAGCACCATGGACAGTGTTCAGCGCCAGACCCTGTCTTCTGAGTTTTCAGACCATGCAAACAAAGGCGCACCATTCCCATTCCCCCCCCCCCCCCCCGTCAGCTATCCCGGGCACCAGCACCTTGCTGAACTCAGCCATAAGTGTACTGTTCTGCAAACGGAAGTCCTCCTCTTGGCTGTGCAGCTTTGCCTGTAGCATCTCATTTTCACTCAGCAGTACCTCCATTTCCTGCAGTGACAGACATGGGCCAGGACTCCAACAGGGGTAGAAAGAATGGGGACGTAGATAAAGGAGAGAGAAGGAAAAAATGGCATTGGGTAGGATGCATATAAGGTAAAAAGAATGAGGCAATATATAGGAAAAGATACACACATGGAAGTAGACAGAGACAGAGAGAGCAAAAGAGACATGGGGATGTAGGGAGAAGAAATGGGAAGGGAGATATAAGTGAGGGAATGAGGGAAAAGGGAAATAATAATAGGGAGATAAGAAGACATGGGATGAGAGGAAGATCAGGAAAAAGAAAAGGCAGGAAGACAGGAACAGAGAGCAACAGGGAAAGAATATAGCAGAAAGAAAAGAAGGGAGGAGGTTAGGAAAGGCAATGAGTAAGGGAGATAAGAGGAATGGGATAAAGAGAAACAAGAAGTCAGACAGAGAAAGAAAAACCAGAAAAGAGAAATGAAAGAGTCAGAAACCAATGGAAGAGAGACAAATGGAAAGAAACAAAAGGGAAACAGGAAGGCAGACACAGATTCATTGAGGATAAAGAAAAATAAAAAGAGATACAAAGAGTGCAAGATACACAGGAAAACAAAGACAAATATAGAAACACACAGAAGTGAGGAAGTTGCAGATACATGGGCATACATAGATAAAGGCCAGTACAATGCCACCAAATGGAAATATCCCCAGTATGACACTCTTGACACATATTCACCCACCAAAGGTCCCCTTACCTGAGCTTTCTTGCTCTTGCTTAGTGCCTAAAAGGAAGGGTGGAAGAGAGCTAAAGTGAACAGTAATGGAGCCCCCTGTGGGATATGGAGACTATTGTGGCAGGTGGTGAGGGCAATGACAGGCTATGGGATGAAAATATGCTTAGACACAGAACTTTCATAATAATTGGAAGCCCACAATAATAACAGAAGAGATGAAGGAAGTATGGTTGGGAATGCTGCTGCCTTTCTTCTATGCTCTTGAGGGCTTCAGGGAGAGGGGGAAATTGTGTCATAGAATTTAACCCCTTTTATTCTGTATCTCCAAGGTATTAAATTGTGGCTTCATCATTCCATCTGCTCAAACATATCAAAGTGTTTACTTCTCATGTAACATAGCAACTTCTCCCCCTCTGCTTGGCAGTCAAGGATATTGCCAGGCTTTGAAAATCAACACTCTACCAAAAACTCCAGTTTCCTGATTGCCAGATTTTCTGAATTCTGTTTTCATTCATCCAACAAGTACTTTTAAGTTTTTATTTATTCATTACTATTGTGTGGGTCTATGCACACTTGTGCACATATCACAGCTTACACATGGAGATCAGAGGACAATTTCATGGTGTCAGTTCCCCTTCCAACTTTTTTTAAAAAAAAATAAGTTATTTTGTGGGTATGCATGCATGCAGTGCTCTTGTAAACCAGAAAGGCCATTATATTCCCCTGGAACTAGAATTATAGCCAATCTGTGAGCTGCCATGTAGGTTCATTCCATGGGGATGGAACTCGGTTTGTGCTCTTAACAATGAGTTCCAGCCCCTCATCCAACAAGTATTTATTCAGCATGTACTATATGCAACTTTGTACTATACATGAGGCCAGAGCAATGAAGAAAGATAAAAATAAGGATCTAGACTATCTTAAAGAGCCACGATAGGCTATATTCTACCTTATCTTTAAAAGATCTGAAAGGTGGGTTTGGTCTCATGTCACCAACAGGACCAGGACAGGTAGAAGCATAAGGAAGCAGTCTGAGTGGAAGACATGAAGCAGACTCAAGGCAGATTTACTGATAGACTTGACTAATTAAAAGTTAATGAATGAAGCTCTACATGGTATACATGCCTATAGATCCAGCTATTCAAGAGATTGAGGAAGGAGGGCAATGTGAGGCCACGAATTTGGGACCAGCCTGGGAAACACAGCTAAGACAAAGTTAGTGAATGAGGGCTGGAGATGCAGCACAGGGGTAGAGACAGCTTATAGCCGGGTGTGGTGGCAAACTCCTGTAATCCCAGTACTTGGGAATTGGAGGCAGGAGGATGAGGAATGGAGGATGAGGAGTTCAAGGCCATCTTCAACTACATAGTAAGCACAAGGCTAGCCTAGGCTTCAAGACATCCTGTCTTGTAAACAACAAAAAGATGACTTTTTAGCCTTTTGGTTAAGATCAAATATAAACAGCTTGTCTAGCATGCACTAGATCCTAGGTTTGATCTGTATCACCACAAAAATAGTGAATGAAAATGAATAAGCAATTGATATTAGAATAAATTAAAATATATCAATTAATTAAGCAAAGCCAAGCATGTCAGCACACATCTATAACCCCAGCACTCAGGAGGCTGACACAGGATGATCAAGAGTTCAAGGCCAGTGTGGGCTAATAGCAAGATCCTGTCTGAAAACAAACACACACAAAAATTAATTAAGCAAGATGAAAATTGGTTCAAATTAGCCAACTGAAGAGATTTCTGTGAAAATCTTTTCAAATCACTGTAAGAAAACAGCATAGAACATTAGGCCTGGTGTAGGTGTTCACTGGGAGGTAAATGAGTCAGATGTATAGAGGAAAGCAAGAGGTGGGTGGATAGCGTAGGTGAAGGGAGGTACCTTTTGGGCTTTACTGAACTCCTTATCCAGGTAAGCAACCTTCTGTCGAAGACTGTTAAGTTCTGTTGCAGGGAAAGCAAAGAATCTCAGCCTTAGGCAGTAACAAAGAACTGAAGGGTCATCTTATCAGGCCTCTATAGGAAAACCTTTGCCTCTAGTCCCCCCAAACCACCCAATTTAATGAGACTCGCTTGGCTCACCAACACCATTCTTCCGAAGTTCATCTGAAAGCTGATAATTATTTGTTCGGAGTTCCAGGAGCTGAGTCTTTGGGAGAAGCCATGAAACAAAAAAATGATCAGGAAAGTATTCCTACCCCTAGGTGAGCCAGCAAAGCCTCTAAGCCCTAAAAACTTTATTTGTTCCCCTAGGTACTTCCATAGTTGTTCCCTAAGATCTGTGTATACTATATTCTTTGTTTTTTTTTTGTTGTTTTTTTTTTTTTTTTTTTGAGACAGGATTTCTCTATGTAGCCCTGGCTGTCCTGTCACTTTGTAGACCAGGCTGGCCTTGAACTCACATGGACTCACCTGCCTCTGCCTCCCAAGTGCTGGGAATAAAGGCATGTGCCACCTCACTCAGCTCGTATACTGTATTCTTATATGGACAGCCAAGCCCTGAGCCCCAGCGCCACCTTACAACAGCTCCTTTTACAACATAGCTAGCCTCACCACTAATCCACATCTGGGCCACTGAAGGGTATTAGCATACGGGAAGGGTATTGGAATAGTTAGGCTCCTGCTCATATGTGTTCCTGGCTGACTTCTTTATACCCTGAACACTGTCCTGACTAGATGAAGATGGCCCCTTTGGCAGGGGCCTTCCAAATTCTTTCCCAAGGAAAGAGAATTTGGTCTTTCTCTTTCCCAAATTCCATGAGTCAGGGGTGTTCTTCAAGGTCCTGTAGAACTCCCAAGGTTTTCAAAGCATGTCAGAGTCCTCTTATGTCAATAATTAAGGGAAAGTGCAGCATGGGCCACTCCAAACAGTCTGAATCTGATTCTTCCCAGAACCACTCACTGTCCCCTACCCCTACTTTTTTCTCCCTCTCAAAGCACCTGCTTCCACCTCTCTCACAATGGTTTGCTCCAGATCACAAGGCTTGGCTTGCATAGGAATCTCTCTTGCCCTGTTCTCCCTAGGTCCCAGATATCATCTTTCCTAATCCAAGGCCAACTGCCAACCTTCAAGGCCCTCTCCAAAGAACCCAACGGCTTTCCTTACACAAGGCCCAATGGGATAAATCTTCCTTGCTCAAGTATCTACCCACTCTTTACAAGATGTCTTCAAGCATGATCCAACAGGGGTGACACTATGTCCTTCAGGGTCTCTCAAATACCCTTGGGTGGGCCAGTTGAACTTGTCTTATTCAGAATCTTCTCTGATTTACACTGGTCCACCCCATTTATGGTCCAGCGAGCTCACTCCAGTGAGCTGGGCAAACTAGCTTCTATTCCCTCAAGAGTTCTGCCTCCAACCTACAAGTCTCTAAGGTTCCCTATTTCACTCATTCCCCCTCAGAAGGCCTTTGAAAAGAATCAACAGGTCTGAGTAGGAGGTCAGGCTACTCCCCAAAACCCAGTGCTGTCCCTTTCCCTGAAGTCCCAAAGTATCATTCTTTTTATATCCTCTGGTTCTTCCTCTAATATGAGTTAATGATATTACCCACTCTGAATGTTCTTCACCCCAGTTCTGAAGTAATCAACCCGATCCATGCAATTATACCCTTCGCTCTTTGAATCCTTTACCATCAACGGCACAGAAACTCTAGGGAATAGATCCATGGTCTTTCCCTATTCCCCTGGCCTAGTGGTATCTCCCACAAACTTTCCACCTCCCACCAAATTCGTGGTCTTGTCCTGTCAAATCACCAAACAGCTCCTCCCCACCCCTGCCCCCCCTTGACGCAAATGGCCAGATGCCTGGTTCTTTTCTCCAGACAAAATAGTTTCTCCTTCCACAGGATCTCCATCCTTTAAAGTCTAATATCATTACCAGTTAATGTTATGCCCTACACATGGGCCCTAAGGTCTCGCGCTGTCCCTGAACTGAAATAGGTATCGCCTACTTAAAGACGTTCTACCTTCCCCACAAGGCTAACAGAATCCAACCTTCAGAACCCACGTAGAATCTTTGAAATCAATAGGGTCCATACTCAGAACCTCGGTTTCCCTTCTCCCTTCCCTCCCTCATACTCAAGGCCCATCCCAACCAAATCCTCAGAGCCAATGACATGACCTATCTCTACCCCACCCCCCAGTCGCCTAGATCGGTGGTCTTCCCCACGTCGAGTGGCACCTGCATCCGTTGAAACTCCTCTTCAGACAGAGCTTGCGCCATATTCCTCCCCCCACCCCCGGCAAGCTTTGTGCGCGGGTGCAGCTTGTGCAGCCTGTCAGTGCTGAGGTCGGAGCGAACCACTGACCAGAAATGGAGGGGAAGAAACCTAATTCAAATGTTCAGCGTTTTAGAGACGGAGAGAAGATAATAACGCGTAAAGGTCAGACAAATTTTTACTTTGACCTCCTAGCAAATTGTAGATCATCTGGTACGGCTTTTGAGCATTTATAGATTAACCATTGCTATACGACGTTACGATATCCCTGTATCATGGGTGGACCCGTCGGTAAGGAAGTAGTCCACCACCGAAAATTACCCTTCCGCGGTTCTCCTTTAAAGAGAAAGTGACTTAATAACCATGGAAAACGAAAGCGGAAGCTTCCTCCAGTTTTGGCCCGGCCCTCCTCCGGGTGACCCCAAAGGGGAATCCCGCCTCACGTAAAGTCCTTGACCACCCACCACTCATTTTTAAAAAGATCTGACAATGATTTTATTAGCACAGTGTTGTATATCATGTTAGTGAAAAGACCTAGTCATTGATAAGCAGTGAATAATAATATAATAATAATTTTTTTTTTAAAAACCAGAAAACTGTTAAAAACAGAAACCAGCTCCACAGAAGAGAAGTTGGTAGCACACGCAAGGTTCTGGTTGTGATCCCCAACACCTAAACCAAAACAAAAACACCAGAAACATGTATTTAAATGCGTCCTAACCATCTCGGATCTGAAAGAAAAGGTCTCTCAGTGTAGTTCTACTGTTTTCTTTTAGAAATTATTTTCCTGCTGTGGGAAACATATTTAAACAGGACTCCTGTGATTTTGTTTTTGTTTTTTTGAGACAGTGTTTCTCTGTGTAGCCTTGGCTGTGCTGGACTCTCTTTGCAGACCAGGCTGGCCTCAAATTCAGAAATCCACCTGCCTCTGCCTCCCAAGTGCTGGGATTAAAGGCGGGCGCCACCACTGCCGGGCTAGGACTCTTCTGATTTGAAGGATTTTATTGATATACGATGTCTATCTCTCTATATAAATGCAGCCTTTTAAAGGTTACTACCCTATGACTTTTGAGACGCCTATGTCATCACGATCCAAAGAAAACAGTCTGTCACAATTTAATGATTCTTTTGTGCTAAGCTCCACCTCTCTCCCCTCCTCCTACAGCCAAAGAAACCTTGTTAATCTTTCTGCCTCGTAGAGTATATTTGTCTGTTGTAGAATTTCATACAGATAGAATGAGATACTATGTACTCCTTTTGTGTTTCACTTTTGGCTTTTGTGATTCATCCAAGTTGTGTTATCAGATTGTTAGTGGGCAGAATTTTCTAGTATGCATATGCCACAACTTGCTTATCCATTATTTTAGTGTGGCTTAATTTTTATTTATTATGAATCAAAATGATTATATTTTCATGTGTTTAAGGACCGTTTTTAATATCTTTGTGTGTTGTGTTAGTCATGTGGCACACTCCTTTAATCCCAGCACTCAGAAGGCAGAGGCAAATGGATCTCTGTAAGTTCGAGGCCAGCCTCCTCTACAGAGTGAGTTCCAGGATAGCCTAAGCTACACAGGAAAACCCAGGATTTATTCCCAACACCTACATGTCAGCTCACAACTCTCTATAACTCCAGTCCCAGAGGATCTGACGCTGTTCTGACCCCAGAGGGCACCAGGCGTGCATATGGTGCACATCCATACATGCAAACAAAATTTTCATACACACAAAACAAATAGCTCTTTGTGGCAGCACATCTTTAATCCAGCACTCAGGAGGCAGAAGCAGGGAGATCTGGGAGTTTGCAGCCAGCTTGATATACATAGGGAATTCTAGGCCTGTCAGGACTACATAATGAGACCCTGTCTCCAAAAAATTACCATTTTATTATTTTTTATATTTAAAAGATGTTTTATGTGCATTGGTATTTTCCCTGCATATATATCTGTGTAAGACTGTCAGAACTTGAAGTTAAAGTTGTGAGCTGCCATGTGAGTACTGGGAATTGAACCAAGGTCCTCTGGTAAAGCAGTCAGTGCTCTTGATCATTAAGTCATCTCTCCAGCTCCAAAGATTTATTTATTTATGTATATGGGTACTTTTGTTTGCATGTACATCTGCACATCAGAATACTGCATCAGATGAGTGTGAGCTGCCATGTGAGTGCTGAGGATTGAACTCAGGACCTTCAGAAGAGTAGTGAGTGCTCTTAACAACTGAGCCATCTCTTTATGTAGCCCCTTGTTTTTATAATTTTTGAATATGAAATTCAGGGGCATTAAGTACATTTGCAATGCTTAGCCATCTCTACTATATATTTGCTGAACTTTCTTTTATTATGCCAAACAGTGTACCCTTTTTATTTTTTGAGAAGGGTTTCTCTGTGTAGCCTTGGCTTTCCTGGGCTCACTTGATCTACAGATCAGGCTGGTCTTGAACTCACATAAATCCGCCTGCCTCTGCCTCCTGAGCGGTGGGATTAAAGGACCAGGACCAGCTGAAACTGTAACCTCAAAACAACATATTATCCCGAACTTTCCAGCCTCTGTTAACCTGTATTATAGTTTCTATCTCTGTAAATTGCAAACTCTAGATACCTCATATAAATGAATTATACAAGATATGTCCTGGACCTACATCCTATCACCTGGCAGGAAGCAGGGCAACCACTATGCTCACTTTGTTTCTCATTTGCCAGGGATCACTTATCTTTTGTGGTTTGTTTTGGTTGTTAGCTGTAGCCTTTAACATCTGAGTTATCTCTTCAGCCTAAGTTCTTTTATCTTTTTTAAGATTTGTTATGTTACAATATTCTGCCTGAATGTGTGCTTACATACTAGAAGAGAGCACCAGATCTCATTACAGATGGTTGTGCGCCATCTTGTGGTTGCTGGTAATTTAACTCAGGACCTCTGCAAGAGCTGCCAGGGCTCTTAACCTGAGCCATCTCTCCAGCTGAAGTTTCTATCTTGAAATGTATTCTTGTACATGTTTATTGATTCGTTGTTTCAGGGTTTTTGAGCCAAGGTCTTGCTGTGTCATCGTGTAGAAGTAGGACCTGGAAGTGGCTGTGTTGAACATGCTCACCTCAAAGTTGGGGTGATCCTCCTGCTGCTACACCAGCGCTTAGATTACAGATGTGTGCTACCACACATCCACCTTTCCCTCTTCTTTTTTTTTTTTTTTTTGTAGCTCCTTTTTTGTGTGCTGGCCTCAAACTCAAAAGAAACTTACCTGCCTGTATTTCCCAAGCATTGGGATGAAACATACATACCAGCATGCCTTTATTCTCTAGAACTATTTTGTTTCTTAATTTTTTAAGGTATGGATGTTTTATCTGTATGTCAGTGCACCATGTGCATGCAGCGCCTAGACTTCTGGAAGACCAGAAGAGGGCATCAAATCCCCTGGGACTAGAGCTATAGATGCTTATGAGCGATCATGAAGGGCCTGGGAAAGTATTCACCTCTGAGCCATCTCTTCAGCATCCACTTTATTTCGGAAACATCAGTTTTTTGAGACAAGATCTCAAGGTAGCCCAAACTGGTTTCAAGCTCGCAATGTACTAGAGGTTGATCTTGACCTTCTGATCCGCCTTTCCTTTACCCTTCCAAGTACTGAGGTTATCTCTGTGTTTGTTTTACCCAGCTGGATATTTTTGTTGTTTTATTTATTGTGCATGGGTTACATGAGAACACGTGTCACGGCCCACATGTGGAGGGCCACATGCACGCCATGGCAGTTGGAGGACAGCTATGCGGAGTTGGCTGTCTACTTCCACCTTGATGTTGAGTTCAAAGGCTAGAAGTCCAATGGCCAGGGTTGGTTACAAGTGCTTTTATCACTGTGCTGTCACATGCCCATTGAAGTCTTGAAACAAAAATCTCATACTATAGAAACAGCCTAACCTTGAACTCATGACCACCCTCCTGCCTCAACCTCAGGGGTACTGGACATGCTGCAGCACACCTAATTTGGTGTGGGACTCTGATTATTCCTGCTTTAGCCTTCTAAGCACCGGGTTTACTGTTATGGGGGGGTGCAGTAACCAGGACTGGTCATTGATAGTGGCCAATCTGGTGTGATGTTAAGGACTAAGATCATGCTTGTCCTGTTATCAGTCTGGTTGGAGAATCACCAGAAAAATGTTTCTCCCAGCTTTGAAGTCGTGAGGCAGGTGTGTGATTCTACTTCTCAGGAGTCAGAGGATTCAGAGTTCTAAGCCAGCTTGGACTATCTGAGCCCTTGTCTTAAAAATAATAGAGGCTACATTTGTGTGCTTACCTTCAGTGCCCCCCAAAATGTCAAACCAATGTGCCTCCCTATTTTTGCCTTTTTTGTTGAGATGGTGTCTCTGTAGCCTAGGCTGTCCTTAAACTTGCAAACTCTTACTTCAATATCTTCAGTGTTGGAATTCCAGGCTTGATGGCAACCCCCTTGTCTTTGGTCACTATCATGAATAACTTTGTTGAACACATCCCATGCTCTATCAGTGAACTTCCAGCTGGAGATGTGGCTGGGTGATGGAGGGCTGGCTGGGTTTCATGTCCAGCCCTGGAGGGGGAAAAAAAAAACTACCCCCTTTCTCCCTTATCACCACACATAGCATTCAGGCTTGGCGAACTCTCAGCCTGCCTGTCTGCAGAAGTTACTGATTCTCCTCCTGGCTTCTCTGAACGGCAAATGGGAAGACGCAGCAGCACACAGAGCAATGCTCCCCCATCCCTCAGCCCCCAGGGAAATCAATCTGGGGAAAGCACAGCGATTCAGCTGATCCTTGGCAGGCCCTTAGGAAGGTTCATTGCTTTTGCTTGCAGGTGGTTTCCCTCCAGGCTCTAATTCTATCTAAAAATTCTGTTTAGCCCTCTGAAATTTGTTGTTTCTTCTAGAATTGTTATTCCTCCTGGCCTTCAGGGGCCATGTTAACTGCACAGTAAAAAACAGGAACAAGAGACTCAATGTCAAAGTTAAAAGCGCATCAAACACGCCTAGCATTTATTATTTTAGTCACAAACCTACAGATCCCTCAGTAAACCCTCCCTGGGGTCTGGCCCCAGCCTTAAAAGCTGAAGACCCTGGGTGTAGGTGGCCAGGATGAGACTAGGTGAGGTCTGGCTCTGAAACAGGGCTGGGCCCCAAATGGAGAACTGCGTGGATGGGGCAGCGGTCACAGTTGACCTAGCTTCTGAGTAGGCAGGTCAATTTAAAAAAAAAATCACATAACCCTGGGTGGTGGTGGTGGTGCACACCTTTAATCCCAGCACTTTGGGAGGCAGAGGCAGGCAGATCTCTGTGAGTTCAAGACCACCCTGGTCTACAAAGGGAGTCCCGGACAGCCTAGGCTACACAGAGAAGCCCTGTCTTGAAAAACCAATTTTAAAACACTTAAGGGGTACAATATATTTTTGCCACCTTTCCTCCAGGCCCCTGCCTTTTAGGGGAGATTTCTATCTTTCCCTGGTCTGGGAAACAGCCTGGACACACCCTTCCTTTGCCATTTTCTACAAGTTGAAGAGAAGTATTGGGGTAGTATTTTGGGGTGCCTAGACTGAGTCCACACTAATCCCTATCATCTCCTCAAACTACCCCTCAAGGCAGAAAAGGCAAGATCTTCCCAAGGGTGAGAATCTAAGTTTCACTTGATCTAGGTCTACAAAGTCAATCCAAAATCTACTCCCTTCCCCAAGGAGGTCAGCACAGGGCTCTCATAGGTCAGGTCCAAAGTTGGTCCCAGGTTAAGGCAGGGATTTTAGGAACTGCTCCTCCCTGCTCAAAGGAATGCTTGCATGGGATGTTGCTAAAGGCCAGGGCTTGGGGCCTCTGCACAGGTAATCGAGCTTAGGGATTTCTTCATGCCTTAAAATACCTGTGCTGGACTTTTCCTACAGAAAAGGGATGGGTCCCAGGAGAACAGGCTAGATCACACCCTTACTTCTGTTCTTTGCTAGAGCAAGGCAGGGAATGATAAGGAAGGGACAGGGTTGGGACACCATCAATTTTATCTGTCTTGTTCCAGTGTCAGGAAAAGCTGGACTGACAATTTGCAGAGAAGGAATGGAGTAGCATCCTAGCATCTCTTTTCCTTGGGAGACCTGTTTATAGGGTCCCTAGTGACCAGCGGCATGACTGTGAATGCTCAAGAGTAAACTAAGCTTTCATAGCTGTCTACTGCCTTCTCCCTCAGAAATACCTGTGCAGGGCGGTTCCTTTGGAAAAGGGGGGGGGCCTCACCTGATTCCTCCTCCTTGCCTATTACAGGGGTGTGGCCTGATTGCAACTCCTCTTCCCCCAGATTTCCTGGACTGGGCAGTCTCACAGGAGGGTAGGAAAAAAGGCAGGGTCTCATCCAGGCCTGTCCTCCTTCCCTGGATGGGGAAATCCAAGGGGAGGAGTGAGACCTGATCAGGACTCCTCCTCCATGCTGAAGCTGCTGCGCCTGCTGCTGGCCTTGGAGACGGCCGGAGATACTGAAGAAAGCAGGGGGTCAGAGGCAGCCCGCAGTGGGGACAGGGCTCCCCCTGACAGTCCTCCCACCACCCCTTCCTCCTCCATCAGAATGTCCTCTAGCCCCAGGTGGAATGGGTCCCCCAGGTCCCCCAAGTGGTCGCTGGGAAAGTGCAGGTCCAGAAGGGCATCTGAGGGTGGTGCCGGAGGCTGCTGAGGAGCATTCTTCGGGGTATGTCCCCCTGATACATGAAATGCTGTCGTGCTTGGCCTGCCTTCCTCCTCAATGTCCAGCTGCTCTGCCTTGAGGCTGTCAGAGATGGAACTAGTGGCTAGGGAGAGCAGTCCTGGGGTAGGAGGTACTGGCAGACCATGGATCTGGGCCTGCAGTTCTAGCTCCTGCAAAAAGGAAGTGGTAAGTACAAAGTAAGATGGGGTTCAAAGCCTGTCCTAGGTAGAGACATGTACGCATTAAAAGGACAGGTTACTAGGTTCCAATGCAGCCGCTGGCCCTCACTACTTGCAAATTTTCAGGCTTAGTCTCTGAGTTCCAGAAACCCAATCTGTAAAATGGTACAATAATGGTGGGTTATCTCATTTGGCTGTTCTTGGGAATTAAAGTGGTCAACAGGCATACTGCTCTTGTTACAGTACACGAGACAAGACAAATGTCATGCACACTAGCAAATATTCATACTTATTTTTTTAATTATTTAGAGAATAAATAAATTATTTATTTCGAGACTGTCTCTCTGCCCTCCCCCATTGACATCTCACTATGTAGACCAGGCTGGCCTTGAACTCAGAGATCTGCCTTCCTCTGGGATGGCAAATCTCCCTCTGAGATCTTTCTTCCCCGGGATGAAAGGCATGTGCTCCCATGCCCAGATGAGACTCTTTCTCTCTTTTGATGAGATTTATTTTAGTAGGTATGGGTGTTTTGCTTGCATGTATGTGCATCATGTGTGCAGTGCCTGTAGATGCCAGAATAGGGCCTAAGATCTCCTGCAGTTGGAGTTAAACAAAACAACAAAAGCCCCAGTCCTCTGGAAGTGCAGCCAGTGAGCCACTAACCCATCTGTTTCTTGTTACTAATTTTTAAAGGAAGAGTCGGGCTGTAGCCCTGGCCCCGAGATCCACCCGCCTCTGCCTTTGCCTCCTAAATGGTAGAATTAAAGACAAGGCAGACAGACCAGCATGCCAGGTGTCCTTATATTTTTGTTCATGGTGTACTAATTACTTTTCAGCTCCACCATTATTTGAGTACAACTGCCTAAGGGGAAAACTGGCCAGTTCTTTCTTTGCCTCCACCTGCAGGAAGTTCCAGCCACCCTCACCATTTCCCCACACACCTGAATTCGGAGCTGCAGGCTTCGGTTGGCTTGCTCCAGGGATCGCTGGCGGCTCTCCAGGTCTTTGGAGCGCTGCTGTTCCTTCTGTAATTTGCGGATGTAATCCACAGATGCCTTCAGAATGGTGCCCTTGTTCCAGCGCATCTCCCTGTGGAGCCCAAGACGGAGGAAAAGCAGAGTGCTGCATATGAAGTCTCTCAGGGGAGGGGGATTGTACCAGGTAGATGGAATACCTGACCACATGTCAGAACTTGAGGTAAATCAAATGGTTAGAATGCTTAAAAAAAAAAAACAAAAAAACAAAAAAAAAAAAAACACTATGCTTACAACCTTCCGGTGGTGGCCATTAAACTCACAAACCTGAAAGCCCTCTTTGACCCCTTCTGGCCTCTCAGTTTTAACATGGGAAACTATTTTCATCTCAGTTCCCATACTTGGTACAACCTAGAGCACTCTCCCTCCAACATGTGGCCTCCTTAATCTCGTCCATTCCTGCTCTCTGTGCTAGGGATGAAAACAGGGCCTTGCACATGGTGGGCAAGCCCTGTGCTCAGCTATCTTCATCACTCCAACATCCTGACATCTTCCTTGTTTTTGTTTTTTTTTCTTTTCCCCTTTCATATGTGTGGCTGTTTTGCTTGCACTTATGTGTGCGCATCAATACTGCCTGCCTGATGCCCATGGAGGTCAGAAAAGGGTATCAGATCCCCTAGAACTGGAGTCGCAAACACTGGAATCAAACCCGGGTCTTCTGGAAAAGCAGTCAATGCTCTCAATGGCTGAGCCACCTCTTCAGTTCCCCTGTGTTCTTTTTGTTGTTGTTTTGAGGCTGGCCTCAAACTCTAGATCCTCCTGCCTCCGACTGCTGAGCACTGGGATGACAGGCATACACTACCATGCCCAGTTCCCTTCTGTTCATTATGTTCTGAAACCCTCATTAGAAGGTGCATCATGGATTTTCTTTTGTCTTAACTCTCTGCCTGCCCCAACTAAAGCATCAGATGTAAGAGTATAAGGCTATTTTTCTTTTTTTGTTCTCTCTGGTACCCTCAGACCCTAGCAGAGTATGTGGTACAAAGCAAAGACCCAACAACTAAGCCCCGAGTAAGCAAAAGAAGTGCTAAGTGAACAGAACTTGATGTTCCACAGGGTGCAGATTGGACAAATTAACATTGCATATTCAAAGGCTGAGGGTCTACAGTCCTCCAACTAAGAAAAGACAATCCTTTGTGTGGGAGTTGTGTTTTTTTGATGCAGAGTCTCACTCTGTAGCCCAGGCTGGTCTTGAACTCATGGCAATCCTCCTGCCCCAGCCTCCCCAGTGCTGGGATTACAGGTTATGAGCTTCAGCATTTGGCTCAGAGAACTTTTGTCTGGGCAAGACTACATGGCAGACACACCAAGGAACAACTTTCCTAGTCCAGGGTGCTTGTTCCACCTCCCATTGGCCTGGGGTCCCCAGCCCAGACTCACGGATCATTGGACTTGGGGATGAGGGTGCCCAGCTCTTTGATCCTATCGTTAATGTTGAATCGCCTGCGCCGTTCAACTTTCAAGAGACGGGGAGAAAAAGAAAGAGTAGGAAAGAGTCATCAATGGGTGAAGAAAGAGAGAGAAGAACAGGGGTGCTGGGAGGCTCCCCATGGAAGGTGGCCCTTGAAGCAAGGAGCACGGCAGGGCTGTGTGGCAGGTGGGCAAGTGCACCTGCTCGTGGGCTTACTTAGGTTGTGATTGTCTTTCTTCTGTCGCTCCTTCAAAAGGGCCTTTGCCTCGGTTTCTGGAAGAGAGTGAGGGTGGATATCAGGGCTTCTGGGTGGAGGAAGCAGAGTCCCTGCAGATGCAGAGGTAGGGGCTGGTGGGAGAGGGACAGTAGTGTAACTTTTTAAGAGATGGGCTCTTGCTTTATTGTCCAGGCTGGCCTTGAACACCTAACTTAAGCCTTCTCAGTCTCCAAATTAGCTTCAACTACAAAGCTTGGCCACAGAGCCAGACTTGGAGTGATTAAAAAAGATTTCTTTTTCTTTTTCTTTGTATGGATAGTTTGCTTTCATGTATGAATGAACACCATGTGCACCCAAGGAACTTAGAAGAGGGCACGGAATCCCCTGGAAATTGAATTACAGATACTTGTAAGCCACCATGTGGTTGCTGGGAATTGAACTCAGGACCTCGGAAAGAGCAGCCAGTGCTCTTAACCTCTGAGCCATCTCTCTAGCCCCATTGTCATTGTTGCTGCCATTGTCGTCTTCTGCTGTGGCTGGTGCTTCTTTACTCTTCTTCTTTTTCCTCTTCTTCTTCCACTTCCTCCTTTTCTTCTCCTCCTCCTTTTTTTTAAAGATTTATTTATTATTTATAGTTTTCTGCCTGCATGCCAGAAGAGGGCACCAGATTATATTACAGATGACTGTGAGGCACCATGTGGTTGATGGGAAATGAAATCAGGACTTTTCAAAGACAGTCAGTGCTCTCAACCTCCGAGCCATCTCTCCAGCTCCCCGACCCCTCTCTTTCTCTCTCTCTTTTTTTTTTTTAAGACAGGGCCACAATATGTAGCCCATACTGGCCTTAAACCTTCCATTTGCTGAGACTACAATCATGCACCGCCATACCTGCTGACTCTTTTATAAGATGTCTTGAGCCAGGCATGGTAGTTCATGCATATAATCCCAGCATTGTGAAGGAGAGGCAGAAAGGTCAACACTCCAAGTTCAATGCCAGCCTGGGCTACACAGGGAGTTTTAGAGCTGGGTATTTGGGCACAGCTCTGTAATTTCAGCACTCGGGAGGCCGAGGCAAGAGGGCTGCTGGGAACTAGAAGTCAGCCTAGGCTACAGAGTGAAACTGTGTCTCAAAAAAATAAAATGTTTCTTTGCTTCTTTTTTTAATGAAAGTATGATGGCGCAGGCCTTCCTTTCCACCCAAGACAAAAGGAAGACAGAGAAAACACAGTAAAAGTTGGACCAAGAGCCATATGAGAAAAAAAAGGCAGTTGGCTTTACTTCTCTGAGGTGCTTGGGATGTAACTTATGGTCTTGCAGATGCTAAGCTACCCTCCCAGCCCCACCCTCAACCAGTTTCTGAAGTGCTCAAACCATTTCCCTAGAACTAGAACTAGGTCTAATGCCAGATCTGGTAGTGACAGAGCTTGGTTCAAGGGACAGGGTGGGCTAAGGGGTCAAGACCCCAGCACTTACCGGAGATCTCCCGTTTGATGTTGGGCAGCTCAGCTGGACAAGAGTTGCTGACAGTGATGGCTGGTGTGGTCACTCCCTGATTGCTGTATACATCAAGCAGGTTTCCTGACACAGGTAGCTGTAGAAAGCAAAGGCATAGAACAGCTTCCTCAGATCCAGGCTCCTGACCCTCGCATACTAAAAGCCAGTGCCCTCCAATGCAATGCCTGAGGAGTCCTGGCCATTCCTTCTCCTTTAGGGAAGTTTCACAAGGTACTTAACAGCAGGAACAGAACCAAGTGAATGTTTGTGTCCCTGGTTTGTGGATACTGGGAGGTCCACCTACCTAGCCACTCAAATATCTCTGTAGCCCTTCTCTTTCTCTAAAACTCCAAGGCTGGCTCTGAGAACAAGAATGCTGGAAAAATCACAGTTCTCAGGTCTCTGTCAGATCTAACATTCCAGGCCATTAACTGCTTCCAGCACAGCATTCCAAACCAGCATTCTTGAAACACTCCAACTCAATCTTTTCAGACCTTGGTAAATTATCGTGGCAATATGCCATCCAAAATCTGGCTTTCTAGAGAGTTCCAGCCTAATCTCCAGCCTAAAGTATGAAAGTATGATCCCTACTTTAAAAACCATGAGCTCCTACTAATCATTTACCAAGGTCTTGACTTTATGTCTGTCTACCCACACAGTCTGCTATCTCAGGAGCTCTAGTCTATTTCACAGCCAGTGCTGCTTTTATACCAGCCAAGTTTTGGTCTCTCTCTCTCTCTCTCTCTCTCTCTCTTACTCTCCTAGTTACAGTCTGGTACAACACACTTGTATAAAAGTGCACCCAGTCCTAGCCTTTGAGGCTTTCAGATCTGTCTCATGACTTCTACTTGTGTACAAACCAATGAAGAGTTATGATAAAGCAAAATTGTGTGTGTGTGGCACTGAGCCTAGAAACTCACACATGCTGGCACTCTACTCAGCTACACCCCCAGCCCCAAACTACAACCATTTTCATACCAGGTTCTATCCTTTTGTTATGTTGGGAAAAGCTATGTGAGTCTTTGAATGTTCCAGAATCAGACTGTTATAATGGCAGATCTCTTGCTCTGGAAAGTTGTTGCCATTTTTACAAGGATCCAGACACTTAGCCCAATTCATTACAAGGGCCTTGGTACATTCTGACCACTTGTTATAAAACCCAGGCCTTTTTGGTCCCAGTTACTACCTGAATCTCTTCAGATGTTCAAACTGCTACATGACTTCTACTGCTTGGTACTTGGCAGAGCATATCCCAAGCACACAGGTAATAGTATGTCTATAAACTCCCCATATATATACATAAACCAGGGCCACCTCTCCATGAAGTCTAACAAAGGCCCAGGGGCAGCCGTGGCCTAGGCTCTATTCTCAACATAAGGCCTTTCTCAACCCCCCCACACACTTTGGTTGTTTGAGACAGGGTTTCTCTGTGTAGCCTTGGCTGTCCTGGACTGGCTTTGTAGACCAGGCTGGCCTTGAACTCACAGTGATCCACCTGCCTTTGCCTCCCTGAGTGCTAGAATTAAAGGCATGCACCACCATGCCTGGCTCTATCTTAGTGCAATGTGTGGCAAGGGTTGCTAATATACTGTATATGCTAATATACAGTGTATATGTGGCCAGTGTAGGTGTGGTCTTAGTGACAGAAGAATGCCGTAATTTTCAGACCACCTCCCTTCTTAGAGCCTCACCGTGCTGGGGAGCTGCAGCCCTGCAGTGCCTCCAGGAAGATAGCTGAGCATCTCATCGTTGTAACTGGACTCCAGGCTGATGATCTCATCAATGACATCATCAATCTGGGGGAAGAAGTAAATACTGTATAGGGTTAGAAGAACGGGAAGGGGAGGCTGGGATGGGAGTAGCTTCATGGTAGAGTGCTGGCCTAGCATGTGCAAGGCCCTGGGTTCTAGTCCTGGCACCACAGGCATTCTCACACACACACACACACACACACACGCAAACAAAACGAAAATAAAAGAACTGGACAAAGGGCATAGGGGAAGGTTATCTACAGCCTCTTACCTCCTTCTCTGAGCTGGACCCAATGGTGAGCAGAGCCATGGGGCTGTTAGGAGCACTGCCTGTAGGGCCAGTGGCATGGGCAGTTTCAGGTGCAGGAAGTGGCTGGGCACTGGCAGGCCCTGGTGGTGGGGTGAGAGCCTGGGAAGCCAGTTTGGGCCCAAGTGTGGTAGACAAGTACTGTTTCACCTGCTGCCGGCGAGCTTGCTGAAGGTGGTAGCGCGTAGGGTTCTCTAAGTGGGTCTGAACCTGTGAAATAAAATTCAGTGGGGACGGAGAGAAGGCACAAAAAATCTCAGAGGAGTAACTCTGAGCACCAGCCCGTAACGCAACTATTTTTAGACTCATGTGGACAAACGGTGGCTGAAATATGAGAACAACTCAAAAATATTTGTCTTCCCAAGACCCCAAACCTCTTTCCCCAGCAAACCTTTAGAGACTCCAAAATCCAATCACCTTGTCTGAGCCCTCAGAGACTTAGTCCTTAACAAATATCTGATATCACCCACAGAACCAGGAACTAAACCACATACACCTTCCCTAGTCATCCCAATGGCCAAAATACCCCTCACAGGTACAGAAGAAAAAAAAAAAAGACATATCCACGGACCATTAAACACTGTCAGGAACTGCCTGTCCTCAGACCCACAGGGATCCCAGGCCAACCCTTAGCTTCTAGAACTACTTCTTAGCAGCAGCTGCCAGAGCTTCTGGGTCTGTCCTTACCTTGAGTACCTCTCTGGGCACCTGAGCAGGGGATGGACGGCTCAATGTGTGGCCCCCAGCAGACACACCAACCACAGAGATGGCTGGTGAGGCAGGTGCAGGACTGGGAAAAGGTGCAGCTGCCGCCTGTTCCCGCCGCTCACGCCTCTCCTGTTCCTGGGCCTGGGCCCTCATAAGCTGCTGACGCAGCAAAACACGCGATGACGACGACGATGACATGGCAGGGGTCCTGGAGCCCCCTGCAGAAGACGATGCAGAGAGTGTAGCTGGGGTGGTTGGTGTGGCCTGCAGTGATATTGGGAGGCTGTGGAATGGGAAATATGGGGCCACAGGTAAGCTAGAAGTCTAATTCCAAGCCTAAGGGTCAGTGTGTGCTGGAGAGATCAAGAGTTTGCTATGTTCCGAGACCACAATGTGTGAGTGTGAGACAGAGGTACCTGGCCTGGATGTGGACCTCAGGAGATGCTGAGAGTGAACGCGTTAAATGAGGAGAACTTAAGTCTATGTTGATTTTCAGACTCCAAGG